CCGGGCTGGATTCGAACCCGCCACCTTAGGTGTACGTGGCTGGCGCCTTAGCCGGTTGAGCTATAGGTGCCGAGCCAGGACAGGTCTTAATATGGAATTGGACTAATCTTCCTATGTTTATATTTGAATATAGCAATACTTAAATATAAACATAGGAAGTAGTATGTATTAAGAACTATGCTAGGTATACAGAGGTGAGAAAGACACACAAGACCTCTGCCATTAATGTCTACAGATTGCTACAGAATCTACGTACATACTACTGGAAGAAATGAATAATAAACAAGCTGGGAAAAAGCTTTCTAGGCAGAGAGAAGTAGAAAGGTCCACGATGGAAAGACTCATTCAGTTTGAAGACTACTAAAACAAGGTAGTGTGGTAGTCATTTAAACTATGACGTCAATTTTGTGGGTCATTGCATTTTTAAAAAGAAAATAGAAAAACAGTCACATGTTTTCGGAATATGTATTCTTTAACAAACTTTTGCCTCAGCTATGTGAGTGTGCATGTATACTGGGTTGCAATGTAGGATATCTTTCTTACTTTGGTCAAACCTGTAGTAAGAAAAGAAAGTTGTAATGGGTAGGAATGGAAGGGTAACAGAGAGACAGATCATCTGTGGCCTTGTATTATAGGCTACTCCAAAGAACTGAGATTTTATTCTAAATGTAGTAGGAAGACATTGAAGGGTTTCAAGCTGGGGAATGACATGATCTAATTTTATATCACGGTGTTGCTGAAAGATTATTATAGTGAAATTTCGAAGATGTGAGCACTAGCCCTGAGATTTTGAGTATATCACTTAATCTCTCTAGACCTCACTTTCTTCATTTTAAAAATGAGAAAACTGAACTAAGATGACCTATAAGATCTCATCTATTGCTAAATTTCTGCCTACATTCTGCTTCCTCCCTCAGGCGTAAATAAATGATGACTAGGGAGTTACTAGCTCATGAGGTTTGATTCTGACTTCTTAAAATATTATAAATCATGTAATTATAATAGTTAAATTTCTATAGAAAGCAATTTTAGAATTATCTCTTTACTGGAACCAGCTACGTTATTAGAAATGAAATATCTGGGCTAAAAGTGAATCAAGTTCTTTTGAAATTCTTTGGTACAAAGTTAGGAGCATAAAGAAAATTGGCAAGGAGGCAGTAAAAGATTTACAGACCAGCTTATTTGGAACAGATATTCGTTCTAGGTAATCAACTGATGTATAATCTAGGACAGTTTAAAGTTGCAAGGTACCTCTGCTTAGCATTAAAGTCAAGATGTGAACGCTTAACTCCTTTCATAGCATCCAAAATGACCACAGAGGCAAAATATTTATTGAGAGCCTATTATATGGTAACCCCATACTAGGCAGTGTGATATATGCTTTCATTTCATCCTATCCTTATTATTTGCATTTCACAGATACAGCAACAAGTAAACTATTTAGTGGCAACAGCAAGATTAAAATTGGTCTTAAGGTAGGCAACATATAGATTTTAATTCCATATTTGCTACAAATTATCCTGTTTAAAAAATACTTTATAAGTATTAAATCATCAGTTAAGAACCTGACAACTCAAGTATCTGTGACATCTGGACACAGAATGTTCAACCAATAAATCAATTCTGGACTTAGAGGTACTTTGCAAGATTTCAATGTGAAATGAAAAGATAAGAACTCGTTCTAGCTTTGGAGGGCCTATTCTGTGGGGGGAGAATTCCAGGTTGTATGAGTTTGAACCAGGCAAAACATCCAAGGAATTTGCACATCTGGTCAAGTACATGTCAGCAGTATTATGGTAGTTTGTCCAGGTTCATTTTCTCAAGTGTTGCTGGTGACAGGCCATCAGAGGAACCGCATCGACTGAACAGTATCACCTGTTTCGTGGGCCCAACAGGTGTTCTCCAAGTTCCATAAATGTGAGGAGATGCTAAAAACTGAATGACTTCCAACTTACATTAACCCTTTACAGGAAGCACGGAAGCACCACCTGCCTACTTGGAGCAGTGTACACAGCTTGTTATGGAGAGAAAAACCTTTGAAATGTGCAGAGCATCATTTTCGTTAGAGTCGAAAAGGTTCCTAACACCTCCCACAGAGACACAAACACCCCAGCAAAGTTGGGGATGCTTACCACATACCTCCCTTAATGACGAGACCGCAGGACCCACCTGTCATATACTCAGCTTCAAATCTCCGTCGAGTCTCAGAGATGAGCTTGGCTTTATTCGGGACATGATTCTAGATGAGAGACACGATAGGACCTTAGATACTACTCATACAATCCGGTTTACCCTTAGCCCAGCCCACCTGCACCTGGGCGCGCAGCCCCCGGGTCTCAGAGACCGCTTCCGAGTGCAGAGGGCCAGCGGCTGTGCAGTCGGCTTCTCACCTCGGCCATGGTTACGGTCGTGGATGTGACTGCAATTGCCGTTGCTGTCGCCACTTCCACTGTCACCGCCCAAGTATCTCATCACCCCCCCCAGTCCCGCCCAGAGGTAGACAGCTAGAGTGGGAGGGGGAGGCGGTCGCGTGACACCGGAAGGCAGACGGAAGTACCGCCGCATCACCCAATCGACTATGGCTGCCTGGGTGTACAGGCGGGACCAGTTCCTCAGCCTGGGGTTCATTTGCTTCACGTTCTGGCCACGCCCCCCCGACGTCCTCCGCACTGCAGTCCCGCCCCCGTCAGCCGGGAGATCGCGGGTGCTTCCCGGGACGAGCTCCGCCCTAGAGATCTCGTGGGCTATTCGCTTTCACAACACTCCCGGGGCCCCGCCTCCTCAGCATACTTGGGCAACCTTCTGGAGCATGCCCGGTAGGCTCCGCCTCCTCTGCATTCTGCGCAGCCTCCAGCCCGGGCTTCCCAGGATGCAGTGCGCTGGCGGGAGGTTTGGAGACGCGGGACTCTGTAACCGCGTCCGGTGACCAGAACTTGGCTGCTGCTCTGAGGTAGGTAGGGCCGGCGATTCTTCCCCTCTCCGGGCGTTCGCGGAGGGGGCAGCAGGGCTGGATCTGCTCCCCTTGTCCCCGCTTTGAGAGAGCGAGAAGGAAGTGGGCATCATGGACTAGGTTCAGTCATTCTGTGGAAAGATAATTGGCTTTTAAGTGCAATATTCGGAGATTATTTTGCTTGAAACGTTCTTTATCCCTTTATCATCCTTCACATTTGCAGTGTGAGATGCTTAACAAGGAAAACATCTTTAAAATCTTTAAACTCAAGTATTTTTGTAAAGTTAAACGATGAAAAGAGTATTTGAGTTTATTAATTAAGGTAGTTTTCGGGGGCGGGGCGGTTTTGCCACCCAGTGAACCTTTGGCCACCTCTGGAGACATTTTTGATTTTCACAACTCAGGGAAGGGGGTGCTTTTCACTTTCATCTGTTACAGGTCAAGGACACTGCCAAAACATCTATCCAGCACAAAATGTCAGTAATGCCAAAGTTGAGAAAGGTTGAGATTTGTAAGGTACTGGAAAGAATATTATCTTTACGAGTCAAAAAATAGTAACAGGAAAAAAATGAGTTGCTCATATAATATTTCCTTTTTTAAAAGTTGAAAGATACTGAAAACTACAAAGAAGCTGTAAGAACAGTCCCACCCCATTTCTGTCATCCGTAGGCAGGATAGCGTGGCACGTTAACATCTTTCGCCTTAGCCCTAGACTTTTTCATGTATTTACATTTTTTATGAGAAAAAAGCTGAACACATTGTTTAAAAATTGTTTGAATACATCTTTAAAAACTATTTCAGATATGACTAAAGTCTCCCTTTGGCTCCCCTTCTCTACCCTGGTATCAACCTCCTCCTGGTCCAGAATCCCGTCATTTGAAATTTGTTATGAAATCTTTAGTTTGCTTTTTTATTTTGGAGCAGACTACACTGCCTGAGTTTAAATCTTGGTTCTGTCACTTACCTGTAGTCCTTTGAGAAGATCCTGAAACTCCCTGCCTCACTTTCCCCATCTGTAAAATGAAATAGTGATAGTGCCTGTGGCATAGGATGTTGTGAGGAATAAAAGAGGTTATCCAAAGTACTTAGAACAGTATGAGAACAGTACTTGATGCTATTCCTTGAGAAAGTGCTTAAGGAATGCAGCTATTGTAAGTAAACAGAAAATATTTAATGCTGTTTTATGTGTTTTAATTTATATAAATAATACACTGTAGTATACGTTTGTCTACAACTTAATTTTTTTATTCATTATCTAGCCACAATGATAGATCTAATTCATTATTTTTAATTATTGTATGGTATTCCATCTATATTTCTTACCCTATTGTGGTCTTTGAAGTATTTCCCTTTTTTGTATTCATTTCCCACATTCGCTGACATTTCAGAGGACTATGTAATGTTGGGAAAGGGCAGATCAATTATGTATAGGCCCCAACAAATAACTTCTATTTACATAGGGAGAAAAAAGTTGTAACTCCATTTTGTAGCGACCTTTATTTACTTAGGTTAAAGATGTTGTATGTATGTATATGATGGAAAACATACATTTATAAGTATTTTGTTTATAATAAGTACAGTTTTTAGTTGGGTATCTTAATTTACCTTTTTTTTTCTAAAGATACTTTCTCTTGGTCACAATTGATATGGTTTATTACAAACTTCTGGGGATTTCATCTGCAGATATTACAGTACTCTTCTAGGATTTTTGTGAACCACCCTGATAATTTGTTTAAAGAGTTCTAAATTTATAGAGCTAAAACAAATTTATTAGAGAATGCCCTGTTTATTTGGGGTGGGCAGTAGAGAAGAGTGGATTAGGAAGGTAATTTATTGCCAATCTATTTGCACTAGTATACGTTTGTGTATTATCATTTTTCAAGTATACACATGTCGGTTTTAATTTTATGTACAAAGTACATAATGTCAATGTATGGTAATAGAGGACAGGAAAAGTTCAAATTAATTATATATAATTTATAAATAAGCTACTTCCAAATCTTCTCCTCCTCCCTCCCAATAGACTGCAACATTAATTGATTTGAGTTACTTTTTTTCTTCTGCAGTCACTGTTGTAATCGTAGTAAGTCAAAGAGTCAAATAGCCAATAGGCTAGAATAGTAAACCTGGTGCCCTCATAATCAGGGCTTGAATAAGTAGGGGTTGCTTATATTGCATTAACAACTTCTGAATTGAACCTTAGTTTGATTTGTTTCCGGATATGTTTCTATTAAAAAAAATTGCTGGGTGGTGCCTGTGCCTCAAAGAAGTAGGGTGCTGGCCCCATATGTCAGAGGTGGTGGGTTCAAGCTCAGCCCCAGACAAAATCTGCAAAAAAAAAAAAAAATTGCCATTTGCTGTTCTCAGAGCAAAGAAATGATAAATGCAAGAAGAGAAGGAAAAAGTCCCTGACTCACTGGTTTATCGTTAAGCAATTAATGCAAAGGTGATACTGCAATTTCGCTCTTCAGTAGGTTCTTGGTCTCGGTGATTCGAAGAATGAATCTGCGGACCACAGATCAGTGGTAAGACAGGATTTATTTACAGAAAAGAATACAGAAGTGCTAGAGCTCCTGGCAGAGAGAGAAAACACAAGTCCGGAGAGAAAAGCTCTCTGTCTGTCTGTTGGCTCTTTGTCTAGGGGTATATATAGTCGCATGGGGCCCTTGGTAGTTACATTTAGCGTGTCTGGGATGTCTGTCTGGGTCCTGTCTGAGTTGCAAATGAATGGCTACAATCCCTTTCATTCCCAGGCCTAGGAAATGCCCCACCCACCCTCCAGCCTGCTCATTCTGCTGCTTGCTGCCACTGCCAGCATCTCTAAGGTGGAGACAGAAAGTCCGCGCTCCTCAGTTCCACGAGCTGGCTGGGATGCCACTTGTCCTGTATCAACTCTCCCTCTCCGAGTAGAAACTCTTGAGTGCTGTTAGGGAAAATGGACGAAGACTCCATCTAACTGCTTCCTGCTGAGTCAGGCCATGATAGGAAGGGGCAGTTAGGGTTTCTCTGGAGGGAGAATGATCCAGGGGTCCATGATAGAATCAGGTCTTGGTCTGGAACCATCTTTACTGTGTGTGGCTTGATGACATTTCTGGAAGACACAAATCTGATTAGCACATTAAAAGGCAAGGGTAGAACAGTGAGAGGAGGGGGTTAATTACAGTGTCAGGTTAGAAGAACAAAGTCAGTGATGTTTCAAAGAAAACTATATTAACACTTTACTTGCTGTCTCCTAAACAATAACTTTAAATTTTCTTTAGGCTCACCAGTGTAGGTGGACTGTGGTTGATTCTCTTCATGGTCTGCTTCTGTAGAAGGTGATGGGTTCCAGGATTTTACTCGTGAATGAGGTATCCAGCATTCTCTTCCTATAACTTTAACAGTTATGGAAGAAGACAAGATAACAGAAAAGGGACCTTCCCAAGTTGGGGTTAGGGAAGGTGAATTAGAGGGAGAGTTTTGATCATGACTAGAACTCCAGAAGAGAAAAGCTCCTTTAGTGTTGAATGTGAAAATGTAGTTGGGAGGTTTTTAAGGATTTGTTGAAATTTAGCTAAAGAAGTAATATGTTTTACTAATTGTATAGTTTCTTGATCTAATAATAAATCGTTAGTTAAAAAGGGTCTTCCATATAATAATTTGAATGGGCTACAGCTGCTACTACCCATAGACAGTGTGGCCATCCCTTGGCCACGGTGTCAATTTCTTTACTAAGATATGCTATAGGTTGTAAAACTGGACCCCGGTGTTGGGCCAGAACTCCCAGGGCAATTTCAGTTCATTCTGTAATATACAGGTTAAACTGTTGTCCAGTGGGAAGACTCAAAGCAGGGACCTGCAAAAGAACAGTTTTCAACTGGTGGAATGCCTATTTGCTTCTTGTTCCCATTCTAGAGTGACTAGGCCCTCTTTTTGAGCATTTTTAATTAAAGAATAGAGTGGTTTACTTATTTCACTATATCTAGGAATCCAGAGTCTGCAAAAGCCTGTGATTCCTAAGAAGCCTTGAAGTTGTCTGAGAGTTCGAGGTTTAGGGCAAATCAATATTGGTTCTATTCTTTCTTTGCCCAAGGCTCTCTTCCCCTGTGAAAGCTGGAGACCCAGATAGTGAACTTCTGGGACACATAATTGGACTTTAGCCTTGGAAATTTTGTACCCACAATCAGCTAGAAAAATTAATAGAATTTGTGTAGCTGTGTGGCATTCCTCTGCATCTGGTGCTGTCAAAAGAATTTCATCTACATACTGAATAAGAGTCACTGTAGGATATGAAAAAAGACTCAAGTCTTTGGCTAAGCCTTGACCAAATAAGTGAGGGCTGTCCCTAAATCCCTGGGGTAACACAGTCCATGTGAATTGGGTGTTGGAGTATGTCCCTCCCCACAAGGGGAGCAGGACTTTCAGGGACGATTAGGAAGGCGTGAGAGAACAGCCATTCATCCCAATGGCAGCTTAAAGGCTGAGAGAAAAATTTGGTAACCGGCTTTTCAGACACCTCCTGTATAGTTACAGATTTGGGAGATAAAAGGCCAGGGTTAGAGAGAAGTACAGAAAAGGTTGCTCCAGTGTCCAGAAGA